AATGGACTCTTGAGAATCCATCTCCAAGGGACCAAGCATTTGTGATTAGGAGGCTTCTACTACCACAAAGTGGGGACACAGTGGCTATGAAATGTGGCTAGTACAACCGAAGATATTAAGCATTTAACTTTATTAACTTTAATCAACTTAAAATCGAAACAAGAAGTGTCCCCCTCCCCCAGAATCCATTTACTGAGTCATATTTTAAAGCTTAAAGTGATATGTGTGACAAATATAAATTCCACAGCAGGCTTCAGGAACTTAGTATCAAAAGGAAATGTAAAATTCCTCATTTCCATTGTGATGGCAGAGCGTAGTAGTGCATACCTGTAATCCCAGAGCAAGTGCTGGGGTAAGCAGGGGAAGGAGGATCAGCCAAAGTTGAAGGCTACCCAAGACTATGTAGAAAGATCCGGTCTCAGACAAACAAAATTCTCCCCCAAATCACAGTGGAAATCATAATAAAATATTTTTATGATAGTTATGTATAGAAACGACAAAAATTTTGTTATATTGGGTTAAATAAAATAATTTAAGCCAATTAATATAATTATATAATTGCATTATATATTACATTTATATATTGTTGCTATGTCATTATATTATAATTGTTTATATACCTGGCTCTAGTTGTATTTCTAGGGACAACAAGGAGGTAGTTAAGCATAACCATATAAATATGCCTGAGCATACTGGGGATAACTAACAGATGTCTTTAACTGGAGAAGAGAGAAAGAACAAGGAAGATAAAACAGAAAGAAAGTGAAACACAAAACAGTTTCAGTGTTAAAGGGAAAAAATAAAGACATGCCATATTTACAGCACTATAGAAGCAGTACACTGGGCGAAGAGGGAGAGAAGAGGCCACAATGCTATAAAAGCACTTACCTGGACATAGTACCACATAAACCAACCCAACAGTATTTTAATTCAAAATGCAAACATACCAACAGGGTGTGGTTGCACAGACCTGTAATTGAAACATTCTGAAGGTGGAGGCAGGGGCATTAAGACTTTAAGGGCTGGTGGATGGAGAGAAGGCTCAGCAGTTAAAAGCAATTGCTGCTCTTCCAGAGACCTGGGTTCATTTCCCAGCACCCGCATGGCAGCTCACAACTGTCTGTAACTCCAGTTCCAGGGAATCTGACAGATGCACATCCAGGCAAAAAAGCAAATGCACATAAAATAAAAATAAAATTATTAAAAAAAAAAGCTTCAGGGTCATCCTTGGTTACATAGGGAATTCAGTTCTAGGCCAGCCTGAGCAACTGAAGAATTTGCTTTAAAAGCAAACAACAAAACGAAATAATATGCAAATGTACAAATAAATTTCTGAGGGTGCTCACCTGGATAGCATCACCCTCCTGGGTTGCTGGAGTGGACTTTTTCTTTAGTCTTGATGTCCACCTGGAAGGTACTGATACATTTACTTGTAATGTGCCATATTCTTTCCTGGGGGTGGGGGGTGCGGGATGGACCCACCATAAATGTCTTCCCATGACTATTGTGGGATTCCAGCTTTCGGGCCTGGTCTCCCAGATCCTATGCAATGCAATGTCCAAAACAAACTGCCAGGACTGTGGATAGGTTGAAGCCCTCTGAACACCATGGCAGTTCTCACAGACTGAGTCTGGGCACAGGGAGCAGGGAGGTGCTCCTATTCTTGTGAAAGTGGCTAGTAACCTTCAAATCACAACTGCACATTAGCATCCCCTGCAGAGCCCTTCGACATCCAGGCACCCAGACCTTACCAGATCCTTTAAATCAGAGGCTCTGTGGGGAGACAGTTCTGTGTCACAGTTTTCCAAAACTCCCTAGGTGGTTATACTGTCTAGACGGTGAGAAGAGTAGCCAAGCGGATTGGCTTTGGATCAGCTCTAACAGTTTCGGGTTCTTTAAATCTACTCCTCTGAGACCACAAACACTCCATCTGTATTCCAGCTAAATACCCCCACTTAAATATATAACTCTTAGACAAAGCAGAAAGATGGATATGAGTTCAAGGTCAGCCTGGGTAACTTGGACTATGGTGTGAGACCCTGTTTCAAAAAAGAATATCTTGCTGGGCGGTGGTGGCACACTCCACTCGGGAGGCAGAGGCAGGTGGATGTCTGTGGGTTCAAGGCCAGCCTGGTCTACAAACAAAGAGAAAAAAACTATATCTTGGGAGGCAGAAATGCCTCAGTGGGTAAAGTGCTTGCTGCCCAAAGACCTGAGTTTGGATCCCTAGCACCCCCATAAAACTTGTATATGGCAGCATGCTTTTGTAATTTATATTTGTCACACATATCACTTTAAGCTTCAAAAATATGACACAGTAAATGGATTCTGAGGGGGTGGAACATCTGTTTTGTAAGCTGGGGACAGAGACAAGTGGATCCCAAGGGCTTGCTGGCTAGACCGTCTAGCTGAAACAGTAAGCTCCACATCCGATACCTGTACACGATCTTAAGACACAAGGTGGACAGCAATAGAGGAAGACACCAGAAGCCAAGCTCTGGCTTCCAGCTGTGCCCATATGCACACATACACACCTCTAGCCTCAAAAGTATGTCTTTTAGCATCGGGCGTGTAGCTCAGTGGTAGAGCGCATACTTAGCATACCTAAATCCCTGCTATGACTGCTAGCACCAAGATAAATAAATAATAAATAAATGTGTACATCTCATTTCCTATCCCCTCAACAAAAAAACCTCTCAGCTGCTACCTTACCTCTACACATCATTTCTTTCAGGAAGCCTTCAGTGCCCATTAATGTTTATAGTATACTGGCTTGTTCCTCCCTCCCTCCCTCCCTTTCTCCCTCCCTCCCTTTCTCCCTCCCTCCCCCGCCCTTTCTGTCTGTCTCTCCCTATCTATCTCTCTCTCTCCCCCAAACAGTTATTTGTTACTTAAAACCACCATCTCGTGACAACAACTATATATTTTTGCAATTTATTTAACTCGCATATTATACATTCACCTGTTCTGTAGACAAATGTATTCCCCCGGAATGCTACTAAATGCTGGAAGATGGTATCATGCATTGTCTGCATCCTACCTCCCTGTTTTCAGATGTGTCCTGAAAAAGTAACAGAGTGTCTGCTGGTTCTATTCAACAGGACTGTGGGTCAGTGACGGGCTGAAACCACCAGTGAGTAGCATCGTCTTATTGTTTAGCCAATAAGAAAGCCTGCCTCACCCCACTCTACCTGCTGCAACCAATAAGACCTGTTCTAATTCACCAGTCACATCCTTTTTAGATCAACACAGCTGATCTCAGTTCGAACATGAACGCTCATTCAAGAAACCCCAAGCCTCCAACCATGTCGTGATCGTTTTGACTAAGCAAATTCTGAGTGTTTATTTATACAGACATTCCCCAGTATAAACGGAAGTTTCAGCCCTGCTGTCTAACTGAGGGTGCCTGTGTGGATTGGCAGACCAACTAGGCACCCTGAGCTCTTCTGAGGGCAGAGAATTGTCACACAGGCGAAGCTATGATCTCGTCCCTTGACCACTATCACTTCATGAAAGTCCTCACAGCCACTTTCATAGGAGACAGAGTTCTTTCATTGTTCCCGTCAAATAGCAAGAGAGCTTTTCTAAGTTTCCAAGTAGGAGCCAAGTGTCAAGGCACACCAGGATAAGTGGGAGGAGCCAAGTGTCAAGGCACACCAGGATAAGTGGGTAAGTGGGAACTGGAGGCAAAACTGTTCTTCATAGAGAGACGAGATTCCATAGAGGTGGGGGAGGGAGGAGAAAGGAGAGGAGAGAGTTCACATGAGAACTGGTAAGGGAGAAAGAACTGGTCAGTAATGACGTGCAGTGCTTCTCTTCAAAGAAATCAGATCATATTCCAGGTCCTGCCCCCTTCACCAGCTGACCTAATACTTAGAAAGTCTCAGCGTCCCAACGGACTCCTGAGGTCAGAGTCCTGAGAGGCTATTGCTCAGTCTGTGTCACTTTCTGTTTGTTTTTGCGTCTGTCCCTGCCCTGATGGAGTAAATGTGTGCTAGATGAGTGTTCCAGTGAGTGGGCCCTGGGTGGGATCATTGTCAAGCGTGTCAGTGGAGTGGTGGAGCCTGGGTGTGCTTAGTCAGTTTGACCACAGAATGAACAAATGTGATTTTCAGAAAGATTTTCAGAAAGTCCCTGTATCTCTTTTTTCCATCACTGTGAGGGTTTTGTGTGTGTGTGTGTGTGTGTGTGTGTGGTTTTTTTTTTTTTTTTTTTTTTTTGGCTTTTGGTTTTTTTGGTTTTTCAAGACAGGGTTTCTCTGTAGCTTTGGAGCCTGTCCTGGAACTAGCTCTTGTAGACCAGGCTGGCCTCGAACTCACAGAGATCCTCCTGCCTCTGCTTCCTGAGTGCTGGGATTAAAGGCGTGCACTACCATCACCTGACTTACCGTGAGTATTTTGTTTGGCTGGTTTTGCTTTGCTCTGTTTTTTGTTTATTTGTTTGTTTGTTTTGTTTTCTTGTTGTTGTTTGAGACTTACAAGTGATTTTTGAAGATTTCTTTTAAGCTTGCATACATGGGGGAGTGGGAGGGCCTATAACATATGAGAGCAGGTGCCTGCGGAATCCAGAAGAGGATGCCAGATCTACTGGAGCTACAGTCATAGGCGGTTATGAGCCACCTGCCATCGGTACCGTGAACCAAACGCAGGTCCTCTTCCAACGCAGTACCAGCTCTTAGCTGCTGAGCCTCTCTCCAAGCACCATGCGTGATTTTAAAACTATTTTGTTTGGTTCCTGGACCAATAGTGTGTTTGTTGATGTGTTTCTATTAAATAAGTAGGCTTATTTTTTTAAGTATGTGTGTGTGTGTGTGTGTGTGTGTGTGTGTGTGTGTGTCTGTCTGTCTGTCTGTGCCTGAAGAACCAAGAGCCCCTTTCCCTTTCCCTCTTGTGTATGGGAGAGGAAGGACAGAATGAAGGAGAGGCTATGGCTTCTCTCTTTTCTGCATAGGATCTAACTAGAGTGGAAGGATTTGACAAACAATTAACAACCCTCCCTCCTCAGCTGCTGTTTCCCAGGATAGCATCTCCTTTGCTGCCAGGGTAGATGGGCGCCTTCAGGGGAGAAGACACAAAGGTGCCCTCTTTATGAAGCCTGAATGTCTCTAGATCTTGAAGACAGAGGGGAAACCCAGGGGATTAAATTAGCAGGCAGCTCAGGCTCCACCTGGACGGGAACTAGATAATAGGCTTTAAAGACAGGAAACAGCCTGCACTCCAAAATAATAATTTTCAAAAGCAACACATGATGGATGCTGGGTTTTCTATACCACCTCCTCCCACCCCTGCCCCACCCTTGGTTCATCACAGCCAAGGGAAATCGTCCTGTGAGACTTGGCCGCGTGGATGAGCCAGGTCCTCTGGTATTCCGGCAATTCTGCTCCGCCTCGCCCCGTATTTGGAAAGACTGTCACAGCCAGCCCTTTGGGAAACCCGATTCCTAGTTACAGAAATTGCCCAGCACCATGGTTTGAAGAGAGGGGATTAGGGCTGGTGTTGTCATCCTGCAGCCTCTGCCTGGCTTCCTTTTCTCTCTCTCCATTTCTCTCTTTCCTTCCCTGCTCTCCAAGCCTGCCATTTGTCCCTCTCATTCTTCATTTTCCCTGAAAGACCGCTCCACACACTCCCGCCCGCCTGTCTGTGTGTTCGGCAGCCCAGGCTCTCTGGGGTCCTGAAACATTGCCTGTCAGGAGCAGGGCTGTGGCTGGAAAGGGAAAACACACGCTGGGCTAAACAAAGGGAACAACCAGCGGCTCACCTTTGAGAAGGTCAGGAGCCCGAAGATAAAGGAGGAAGGTGGAAAAAGGCAAGGACCAAACTAGTACCCCGGCGGATTCAAAGATTAAACATATCACGCTGGATTCTGGGCTTTGCTGTTTGAAAATTTCCTTCCAAATATCCCCAAGAGGAATTAAAGCGCCGAAGCCTGTTCTGTGAATTAACTCGCCACCAGCTTCAGCTCTTGGGAACATAGGATTTGAGCCTTGTGTTTTGCACACATTTTTCTGCTACAGTGGCATGCTATTTCAAAGTCTGCTCACAGGGCGGTGTCCTTCTATACCAGGACTTCCCTGAGGCCGGAAGGCCGGTCTTGTCCCGGGGGTGTGTCTTCAGGACTCAGTACATTGGTCCACAAGAGGCACTGGGGTGCTGAAGGGGCTCTTGAAGGTGGGTGGGTGGGGTAGTGAATGGATAGACAGATGGATGGATATTCAGGTGGATGGATGGACAGGTAGATGGTAGAGGAAAGGGTTGGGATATTTATAAAGCATCTCATTTTCTCACAACTGTCTAGAAGAGGGAATATATTATAAAATATTATAAAACTGGTTTTTTTTTTCTTTTGACAGACAGGCAGAATAGTGAAATGATATGATTAGCCTGACATTCCTGGAAGACTTGCTCCTCCTCTGTCCTCTCAACACCTAGTATTCCAGATGGTTTGCACAGAATCACAATCAGCACATGAGGGTTCAGTTAATGATTCAGGAGACAAAAGAATAGCTGTTCTCCACTGTAGGAGCCTCTCTAGGAGAGAGGGGGGAGGAGCAGTATATAGAGGTGCAAATATTAAACATTTTCCAACACCTTCCCTTGCTTTGTATGTTTCGATTTTGTTGTTTTGAGGCAGGGTCTCACCAGGCAACCCTAGCTGGCTTAATCTCAGTGTGCAGAGCAGGTTGGCCTTGAACTCACAAAGATTCCTCTTCTCTCAGCCTCTACAGTGCTGGGATTAAAAGCATGCACCACTGCCTGAACTGATCTGGTTTTTGAAACATCTTGATAGACAGAAAACCTGAAGAGGAGAGATACTTCAGAGACTTCGGAAGGGCTCTCGGTGTACGCAGAGAGGACGGAAGTAGTTGTGTGGTGTGAAATTTCTGAAGGCCTTTCTTTGCAGGCGTCTGGGGCTGACTCAACTGTGTGACGTTCCCGATTCAGACAGGCCTACCTTCTCTTCACTTTGGCAGGGACTCGAGTTGCTTGACTGACAGATGTTAATAGAGGAGTTCAGCTCCAGAACAGTAGGCAAAAGAAAACACTTACAACCCAGAGGACACAGCTTCTGCCCTGACCCCGGTAGGTAGGAACGTGTGAAGGTGACCGAAACCCACACATGATTGCATGGCTAGTCTAACCATAACCATAGCTCAACCTGGGATTTGTCATGAGCAGTCTTTAAGGCCATTCTTTTATTCCACTCCCCTTGCTCATCAGGCCTTGCAAAAAGAACAACCCAAAGCGCTGGAGAGCTGAGATTTACAGAGGCCAGCAGCTTCACCACGGCAGAACACAGAAAATGCCTGGGAGGTATTAGGAAGGGCAGTTAATTGGTTGGCTCCTGAATGTGTTAATCCTGAGCCAAGCTGTGTTAGTACCTCATTAGCGCATTAATTCTACCGACTACTCTCTAGCAGTCCTGTCTCAGTTCAAATCCAGAGCAGTTCTGGAGGTTGTTTTATGGAAACCAGGTTGTATTGATAAGAATCGCAAGCACAGATCCTTGTCTCAGAACCCTGGGTCTGGGACAATTGAGATTAAGGAAAGATAAGCTTGGAAATGCGTGAAATACTGAGTTTGGTCCTTCTCAGCTCGATAAGAGTGTCATCAGGGATCCTTGTCTCTGAGGTCAGGGAGCGGCGAGGTGAGCAGGCAGCATTCCAGTCCGGCGAGGTGAGCAGGCAGCATTCCAGTCCGGCTATCCAGCTCTGCTGGAAAGGCCCCGTGTAACCAGGGAAGGACGCAATGCCGCCACTCCACGCGCCTGGCACCTGGCTCCGGGAGGAGAAGGCGATAGAGGTAGGCTCAGTGTTTAGACACTTTGGGCAGGAGAGACTGCTCCGTGGGTGAAGAGCTTGCTGCGCAAGCTTGAGGACCTGAGTTTGGATGCCCAGAACTGACATAAAAGTCTGGCTTGGCGACGGGTTCCTGTAACCCCAGTACTGAGGGGGCAAAGGCAGGCAGATGCGGGGGGGGGGGGGGGGGGGGGGGAGTCTGTCAAGCTAGCTAGTCTGCTAATTTAGTAATCTCCAGGTTCGGAGAGAGAACCGCTGTCAAAAAATTAGTTGGAGAGCAATAAAAGAAGATACCGGAAGTTGGCCTCTGACTTAGTATGCATAGGCACAGGCAAGCATGTCCACACACGTGCATATACCATAAATGTGAACACAGCACCACCTTTGCTCCAAAGTTATCTGCCATTGGATTTCACATTGGAGCTCATGACCTCATAGGTTTTCCAAGACCTTTTGTTTTGTCTTTTGAGACAGGATTTCTCTATGTAGTGCTGGCTGTCCCCAGAATTCACTCTGGAGGCTTCAAATTCAGAGATCTTCCAGCTTTTGCTTCCCAAATGCTGGGATTAAAGGCATGCGCCACTACCAGCTGGCTCAAAATCTTCCTTTTAAAATGTATTTTCTGTGCACTTTTCCCCTTAGTATGTTATTGCTGTATTTTGAGTATTAAATATCCCCCAGAGGATCAGAGGCTAGGGATCTGATCCTGCAACTGATGCACCAAAGAGGCCGAACCCTGACGACTCTTGACATGATCAGCATGAAATCACTGGTGTTGTTTGGGTGATTAAACAGGAGTTGTGCCAGGCAGTGGTGGCGCACACCTTTAATCCCAGCACTCGGGAGGCAGAGGCAGGAGGATCTCTGTGAGTTTGAGGCCAGCTTGGTCTACAACAGCTAGTTCCTGCACAGGCTCCAAAGCTATAGAGAAACCCTGACTCGAAAAACAAAAATCAAAAAAAAAAAAAAAAAAGAAAGAAAGAAAGAAAACAAGAAAAAAAGGAAAGAAAAAGAAAGAAAGAGGCATTATACCTACTTAGAGGTACAACTGGGTCCTGTTCTAGAATGATGTAACTTGTCGCCTCTTTACGCTCCCTTCTTCCCACCTGCCATGAAATGAGCAGGCTCTGCTCTAGTTCCTTCTGCCGTGACCTCTTTCTCACCTCCAGGCCCAAAGCAAGGGGTCCAGCCAAACGTGGAACATGGAATGAAGCCCCTGAAACCAGGAGCCTTTCCTCCTTTTAAATTATGCTAAGTAGCTGGGCAGCAGTGATGCAGGCCTTGATCCCAAGGACTCAGGGGGGCAGAGGTGGGTGGATTTCCCTGAGTTCAAGGCCAGCCTGGTTGAGTTCCAGAACAGGCCCAAAACTCCTCAAAGAAAACCTGTTTCAAAAAAAAAAAACCCAAAAGAAAGAAAGATAGACCCACTAGATGGGACAAAGGCAACCTCTGCCTGAGAAAACAGGACTTAAAGCTCAGATCCTCTGGAGCGTCTTCCTTCTACCTAACACTGAGAGCTTTGGGACCTATGGGGTAGAGGACAATCACCTTGGGTGCAGACATCTTCAAATCATGAAAGACAACAGAGTAGCAAGAGCCAGGCAGTAACTGTCCTGGGTTTTTCTTCTATGAGATTTCAGACCAGTGGAAACAGCTGTAAATATTTCCCAAACAAGTGACTTTTACTCCTGTTCACTGTTTGTGAAGACGGGTCTCACTTAGCCCTGACTGTCCTTGAACTCACTGCGTAGCCACAGCTGCACAGAGTGGATGGACCTTGCTACATTACTGCACTTCATCAAGGGATGGGGCAAGAGCAGATTCCTCCACATTCTGGCCAGTATTTGTTATTGTCACATTTTCAATTTTAGCTGTTTTTATAGACGTGTAGTGGTAGCGACTGCTGTCTTCCTACTTGTTGCATAAGTGTGTAGTGATAGCTGCTGTTTCCCTAGTGACTGGTGATGCTGGAAATACTTTATATCGGGCTATGAAGTTTGTCACTGGCTTCAACTTTTCTTTCGGCAAATGATTTTCTTCTCTTCAAGCCTTAACTTTCTCATCTGTTGAACGAGAGAATTGAACCAGGTGATGTCTGGCAGGTTCTCAGCTCTCCATACCCACATATTCCTGGACCCACCCCAGGGCAGCTCCTTTGCAAGGTGACAAGCTTTCCATTTTCCCTTTAGGCATCATTAGCCCTATCTGCCAAGAACTGACAAGCAATGGTTCTTACCCGAGAGCTTCGCTGACATTTCTGGGAAATGTGCAGGAGCTTCGTTTGACCCTTTAAGCCTTATTCAGCACTTAAGTCCTGTCATCATAGGCTGAACAAAAAAATTATAACAAATTTGCAAGAAAAATTTATTAATTTTCCGATGCACTGAAAAGATATTTGAATTACTTTGTTCCCAAGACCTCTCTGTAGGTCACAGTTTTGAGTGGGTGAGAAACTCATTATTTTGGTCAAGCATCATTTGAGTGCCTACTGGGTTTTGTTCTGGAAAAGGTGCAGTCAGTTGTCTGTGGAGAAAAAGTTGAGTTTGGGTCATGCTCTGCCACTTATTGAGTGTATTAATCCACTCAATAAATTGGGAAATATTTACAGCTGTTTCCACTGGTCTGAAAGCTCATAGAAGAAAAACCCAGGACAGTTACTACCTGGCTCTTGCTACTCTGTTGTCTTTCATGATTTGAAGATGTCTGCACCCAAGGTGATTGTCCTCTACCCCATAGGTCCCAAAGCTCTCAGTGTTAGGTAGAAGGAAGACGCTCCAGAGGATCTGAGCTTTAAGTCCTAATACACACACACACACACACACACACACATATATATACACACACACACACATAATCCATTTGTCATTACTATCAGACAGTGCCTAAGGCAAGCTACACACACACACACACACACACACATATATATACACACATAATCCATTTGTCATTACTATCAGACAGTGCCTAATGCAAGCTACACACACACACACACACACACACACACATATATACACACACATAATCCATTTGTCATTACTATCAGATAGTGCCTAATGCAAGCTATACAGACACACACACACACACACAGGGTCTCACTATCATACAATACCTAAAGCAAGATGCATGTGTGTGTGTGTTTGTATGTATGTATGTATATGTACAGGGTCTCACTACGTAGCCCTAAATGGCCTGGAACTCAATAGCTTGCTATGTAGACCAGCCTGGACTCAAACCCACAGAGATCCGCCTGCCTCTGCCTCTTCAGGGTTGGGATCCAAAATGTGCACCACCATAAGTGCCTGGTAAGCTACTGTTGGGGAAAAAATGTTCTAGATATTCAAGGTCATGCTGCTGATAGGCCCTGGCTCTGTAAGGATCTTATGATGTCATTATGGGGACATGTGAAGGAGAAAGAAATTAAATAACCAGAGAGGAGCCCAAAGACTGTAGCCAAAACTCCAGCAGCAAGGCATGCCTTAGACCCTTCTGAGGACATACTCCTGTTTGACTTAAGCCTCTTGAAACTGCCATCCTGGGGACCACATTCCTACTACATGAACCTTTTAAGAGACAAGTACCATCCATTCAAACCACAGAAACATGAGAGTTTGTCAAGAAATGCAACTTCACAAAAGGGGGGGAGGGGTGGAGAGCCGGACATGGTGGCGCACACCTTTAATCCCAGCACTCAGGAGGCAGAGGCAGGGGGATCTCAGTGACTTTGAGGCCAGCTTGGTCTACAACACAAGTTCTGGGACAGCCAGAGCTGCTACACAGAGATGCTCTGTCTCAAGAACAAACAAACAAAAAGCAATGCAACCTCAGCGGACTGTGACAACGACATCTGCTGACAAAGTGGTCATAAAGAGGTGGCCATATATGTGGAAAGTGCCTCGTGCAGAATAGGCACTGGACAACAGGCAGCTATAACCATGTGGGACTACTGGAGTGGTCACCACAGAAGACACGGAGGAAAACACATAGCAAGCGTCATGCCCTATGCGTGCCCTGTCACATGTCCATGCCACTTGAGTTCCCCATTAGTACCAAGAAACACTGGTTTATGAAGCTGAGATGCAGAAAAGCTATATCACTTAAGATCACCCCAGCACTTAAAGAAAGAGGTGGGATTCAACCAGCATGCCTAGGGGACCATTCCACTCGTATTAATAAGCTGTACACAAACATAAACACTGATGCAGAGGAGCTAAGAGTCAGGCAGGAGAGTTGCAAAACATTTGACTCAGCAAGATAGTTACTGCTGAGAACCAGGCAAGTCAGGGAGGCAAAAGGAAGCCAAAGAAATAAAACTCCCTACCTCAAGAGCATCGCACCACAGCAGTTTGTGGTCCTCGAAGCCCAGTCCAGCTGCTGCAGGGAGGAAGTGGCTCTCAGCTCTCCCCACCGCTCCCTTTTCTCATTAGTTCACAGCCTAGTTAAACACGGGCCCTTCCATTTCATGGTCACTAAAGTCTTACGAGCCTGTTTTTTAAACATTACCATGATAGAAATGCTCCGGTTGGTGGTGGCGCACACCTTTAATCCCAGCACTCTGGAAGCAGAAGCAGGTCAATCTCTGTGAGCTTGAGGCCAGCCTGGTCTATAGAGAGAATTCCAGGACAGCCAGGACTACACAGAGCAGGCCACCAGCCTGGGTACTATGCTTCAAATATTCAAGGCTTTTAGGAGACAGACAACATTCAAACCACAGAAACATGTGACCTTGTTGAGAAACAAAACCAGCAAAAGGAGACAATGGTATCTCCTGATCAAATACATGGGTCTCTGTATATTTCTCATTCAAACCACCACAGTCCTCTGAATAGTCAACTATTGCCCCATGTCTAGGTATCTAATTAATGCTTTTATGAATTATCAGATAATTCATAAAATTATGCCTTTGGACTATCTTTTTCTTAAAAAAAAAACCAGAAGCAAAAGCAAACTACTTTTTATTTATTTATTTTTTTTTAAAT